AAGAAAAGAATTTAAGAATTGGTGTTGAAGCAACCAGAGTACCATAAAATATATTTTAGCTTTAACTAATTGTTCAAAAATAATAATTAGTGGAACTTATAAAACAAGCAGTAACAATTTCAGAGCTCTAATCGAATAGAAAGACAAAAATAGAATGCGAATCTCTAAATTTGACATCAAAAGTGAAATGGACAAAAACTCACTGAGCTCATTGAAGTAGAAAGGAGTTGCGGATGGCAGTGAGCAATTCAATCGAGCTTTCATAAACGATGTCCATCGCTCGTTGGCAGGCCGCGCCCCTCCTTTATCATTTCGACAAACGCGAGCTACCCTAGCATAGATCTGGAAAAAGAGATTTTGTTAGCGCTCAGAATCAAACTAAGAAGATTTTTCTTTGAAATGGGCTAATACCTGTCGCTCTTCATTGTTATCCATAGCTTCAGCGGCTCGCTCTCTATACCAATAGTAGACATGTTCCTTGTATACAAATGAGCCAACAAAGTTAGGTGCTGAAGTAATAGGAATAATACCACTCGTTTGCTTTGAAAACTTTAACTCACAGTCAAGCACTCTAGCATCGTCTCTCTGGGTCCTGATCCCATTGTCCCTATCATTTTCACCTATCCTTTTACGGTAAATCAATGGATCATTCCCAACAAAGTCTGACACCGTTCCTGTGTAGATCTCACGTGTTTCCGGAAGGTAGACAACCGTTGAATTATCGCGGGGATCATAAGGTGATATTCCCTAAGAAGATAGGACCAATCACGAGACAAGTGTGTAAAATAGTCTGGGAGATGTCTCATACCTGGCCATCAAATTGTCGGGTATTTTTCAAAGTGCCGTCAATGCTGGAATACACATACTCACGGCACTTCGGTGAGAAAGCGTGGGTCCCACATATTAGCGCTTTACCGGCAGACTGGCGGGCCAGAACTCGGATGTAATTCTGACAGTCGCTCTGAATTTTGGGCATTTTCAAATGTAATAACAAAGAAGTGAACTGAAGAAAATGATAGTGAATCTACACCCCTTACCTTCAGCTTGCCTTTCATCAAACATTCTTCAATCACATCAGCAGGCGGTTTCCAATCAATTTTCTAAAGTGTTCTATATGAAACCTCTGTTAATTCTATCATAAAATTCAAAAAGCTATAGTCAACAGACTATAGCCATCACTAAGTAAACGTCTGGCGACGGTAATCTGTATACAGTAGGATTATCGGCTTGAGCGCTTGCGCATAAACTATTCTGTTATATGCAAATAGTGTTCGTATATATATAGCGCGCAGTTACGATCAGATTACCAGCAAGTTAACAATCAATTCCAAGAAAGAACCCACGTGATGTACGCTGA